TTCTTCAAGCTTGTCTTTGAGTTGTTTGGATGTTGCCTCCTGTATCAGCTTGTCCTTGTGCATGTCTGCATTTCTCTGTTGTATGTCTTTGTGCTTGTCTTCTAACTGCTCATTTTTTTTCTGGATTTCTTGGAGCGTGAGCTGCAGGTCTTCATGTATTTTGTCTTGTTGTTGTTTTTGTGCCTGCATTTGAGTGTTTTCACGCTTCAAGTTATTGAATTCCACCAAAATCCCCTTAACGAGCTCTGAGTTGTTTCTTGCATTTTGCTCGATCCTTTTCTGCATCTGCGAGCACCGTTTCTCCAGTTTGTCCTTTTCTTCTTCCACTTTAGTTGCTTTGTCCTCCAGCTGATTACAAAACTCTTGCAGTTTTAGATTTTTAGACTCAAAGTCCTGGACGATACGTTTTCCTTCTTTCAGTCTTTCTTGTTGTTGCTCTTTCTGTTGAAGGAGGTCTTTATTTTGGTGCAGTGTTTCATCCAGGCTTTCTTTCAGCATTTGGTATTTTTCCTGCATGCTCTTCAGTTCGTGCTGCATGTCTCTTTGCTTTTTGTCATGCTCTTCCTTCTGTTGGAGGAATTCTTTCTTTTCTTCCGCAGCTTCATGGAGCTGTCTTTGGAGGTGCTGATTCCTTCGGTTCATGTATTGGAGCTCCCATTCTATCTTATCAGTCATCGTTTTCTTGTCTTGGAGCTGGTTGGTCATTTCTTTTAGTTCTGCACTCTTTTGCTTGTTTTTTTTAATGAGGTGCACAATCTGCTCTCGGGTCTGAGCAAACTTGATTCCCCAGCCCTCATTAATAATTTTTATGTCCGGTTGGCGCTGTTGTCTGTCTTCCAGCTCTTTATTTTGGGCTTCCATTCGTCTACACTTGTCCTCCAGTTGAAGTTTCGCTTCTTCAATTTGTTGCATTTTTTTCTGGAGAAGGTAGTTTTCCTTCCTACTCTCCTCTAATTCCCTTTGGAAGGATGAGACGCCATTTGGGGAAATTGGCCGGCCACGCCAGGAAGGAGAGGCGGCGTAATCTTTTTGAATTGGTTGTTTTTTTCCTGGAAACATGTTGGAGTTTTTATACGATTACTTCGAAAATCTTTCCAAATGTTTCTGTGGTGAACGTTTTGTAGGCTGCAAACACAGATGCTGCTAAAACGAACTAAAACTTGCTGTTTCTCACCCCTACTTAAGGAAAAACATCAAAGGACTTAAGATTCTTAAGATCTCCCTATGACATCATCACTCCCTAAGCCAATGAGATTGTCACAAGACATTTTGGAATGGGGTATTTTTTTTTTTAACTGTTTTCAAACTTAACTTAAAATTTCAGTGTTTCCTAGTTGTGGACTATTGGTTAGTCCAGCCGATTAAGAAATTAATTGTCACAAACATCCCTAATATTATATAACAGACAACAGAAAACAAGACAGTTTTTTTTCTACACAATAGAGCTATAATAAAAGTTTTTTTTAATTATCCTACTTTTTTATAAAAGAGAACATTTATTAAAGAATATGTATTTAATTAAAAAACTCTGTTCATCTAAAGCAGGGGTCAGCAACCTTTAAGACCCAAAGAGCCGAAGATCCATAATTGGCCTATCTGGGGTTGAAAGTCTCGATAAATGCACAGCGTTTCGCCGGGTACACCGGCTTCCGCGAGTATGACGCTTATTTTGAGCAATGAAAAAATAACAAATTATAATTTTATTTGTATATTGCAAAATCACAATAATCTTCCAATTTAGAACTACAAGTTAAAAAAAAAGAACTAACATAAATAAAATACACTTCAGCTAAATACTAATTTATTTTCCCAAACCACGCCCCAGCTTGGACAGTCTCAGTCCTTGTGTCCTTGAGCAAGACACTTCACCCGTTGCCTACTGGTGGTGGTCAGAGGGCCCGGTGGCGCCAGTATCTGGCAGCCTCGCCTCTGTCAGTGCGCCCCAGGGTGGCTGTAGCTACAATGTAGCTTGCCATCACCAGTGTGTGAATGTGTGCGTGAATGGGTGGATGACTGAACGGGTAAAGTGCTTTGGGGTTCTTAGGGACTAGTAAAGCGCTATACAAATACAGGCCATTTACCATTTTTCTGGGCGTGGGTGCTTAACTAGTTAAAAAGAACAAAAGAACAAACAAACATCTGTCTCCTATTTTTTTATGTCACACAGGAAAGAAGCTTCAATATCTGATGAGAAGACATTAATTTGTTGGTGTTTGGTGCAGTTTTCTTGTTTTCTGGGTTGTTTATTTACAGTGGAGATGAAGGTCTCTAACAAGTTGATTTGTTCACATTTGCACATCTTAATTTTTAAGAGGAATGTGTTTTTTGAGTTTGTACACTATATGCATGTAAGGCAACCATTTCCTTTTTCACTATTTTTGTGTGCTGCATTTTTCTCTTTTAACAAAAGGGGAACAAAAGACATTTAAGTCGACCTAAGATGATTTGTTTAAATTTTTACAAGGTCTTACTGAGGTGATGCAAAGTGAAACATGCTTTCTTCTTTTTTGGTAACGTGCTGGAAAAGCTTGAAAATTGACCTTGAATGTGCTTAAAAAGTGCTTGAATTTGACCCTGAAAAATGTGTATGAACCCTGTAGCTGATTGTCAGCCTTCCCTGGTGATTTAGTAACTAATAAGGAAGCTACTTCAGCAACTTTTACTAAAGCACAGTACTTTGCAAAATATGTATAAAAAAACAAAAAAAACACAAAAAACTGGAAACACTACACACTGTTTCTTCATTTGAGGCAAAATGCACTTTTGAGTACTACCAAGAAGGAGAAGTAGCAGCTGGTGATGTTGAAGAGCAAAGACTGCATGTGCTCATACACGGGGAAAGAAGGCCTGTAAGCAACTTGCTAAAAAAGCCTGAGTAAAGATACAACATTCCAGTTAGAAAATATTTTCCTTTTTTATACAATACTGTGCTGTTACTGAAGAGTTATAACGCTTTAGTTATTCTCAGACAGACGTATTATGCAGTTATTTTTTACTTTAAATTTCTGGATAAAATACGACTTCTGAAGTGTCACTGGATATAATGCTCCATGCCAAGCTGCAGGCATCAAAGCGTTGTTCAGTATTTTTATTTTATTTCTGTATTTATTTTGTAATTAGACATTTTTTTTCAATATCATGATCTAACTTTGAGGCCATATTGGCCGGTAATAGTGATCATTACAAAAATAAATGTACGTTGTCATTTTACAAAGTTCTTGTTTCTTTTTAATAACCATGTTGTACTTGTTGGTAGACAAGGTCATGGAGGATGAACTGGCTGACTACAATGGAGATGATGAGAATGAAGGGGAGCCTGAAGCAGACAAACAAGCTGAGCTAGCTCAAATCTAAGGTATACACTCAGACACACACACTGTTGTCTTGCTCCGTATCATTCACATACTCGTGATGAAAAAAACACTGACTCAACACGATATGCAGTGTAATTGCTGAAATAATGTCCTATCAAGCACACGTTTTTGTTCAGAGAGCAATATGAATGTGATTTTCTTCATGTTTACTTAATTTTATGAGTTTAACGACTATTTAGCATCCACCCATTCTGTATTACTCCACTACAAATTACAAAGATGAGACATCTGGAGTTATTGATCTGGCCTTCCTTAAGGGTTTTAACCTAATGATGGACTCCTTCACTTGCTTCAGCATCTGTATGAACCTCATATTTAGAGTTAAAGTTGAACAGTTACCATATCCAAGTTCAACACTTAGAATAAACTCATATTTGCTTAATTATTTGTAGAATAACAAGGAAACTGGCGTCACCAGGCCCTGAAGCTGTTGATCAGCCAATCATCCAGTTGCTTTTCAGCCTTTAAAAATGGGAGATGATGTATAAAAATGACTGTATGTTCTGAACAGTTCACAGTACTTTTGTTAAACTCCTTGGATTAACGCTGAAGGTCTGCATATTAACTTCTTGGCAAAACTGTACATGTCAAGAAGTTCAGCAAGTGAGAGACTAATAATTATTTTGAAAGACAACCCCCTGCATCCAGACTGAGCTCAGCAGAATCAGGAAAGCAGCCAGCAACAAAGCAGAGAAAATATGATACAGTTCTATGTAAATATCCTGTGGTGATGAGTGTGGGAGATGGACAGGCTGGAGCCAGGCCCAGTCATTTTACTTCAGAAACAAAACCATGAATAAACATAAAAAGGAAAAGCTACACTTGGGAACTAAAGTCTGATACAGCAGCATGTAGTAATAAATCAGTAAATAAGTACCAAGATGAAAATGAAAAGCTCAGTGCATCATGCATACTGAAGTAAAGACAGTTAAGGAAACAGTTGGCACATTCGTTCACTGATGCATCTTTTTCTGAATGTATTTTTGTTGCAGGGCACAGCTTGAGAAGGATGCCGGATATCAGATTGGGGAAACAGGATCTGCTTTACATCCACAATGCTGTACAGGTTCAAGCAGCTCGGGGGAAAATAAACATCAAATAGAATTCACTGTATGAAAAACTGGTTAAAAGTAGCTTCCTGGATGACTTTCTTTAATCTTTTAATTTGATATTTTCTTATCATCTACTATTTAACTCAAGTCTCAAGACTGTCGACTTGGAAAAACTGAATACCTGGAATTCAAACATTGTAATGACGTGTTGACTTTCACTTTTTGTCTAGTTTTCAGTGGTTTTAAGGTTTGAAAAGCTGCAACAAGTTTAAAGATCTGAGTAATTTCTGTCACAGAATTGCTCCATCTGGCCGCCGCTCTACAAGATTCAACAGCACGTTGAACAAAGCCTTAACTCACTCATAGAAATGATTTTGAGGTCAAGATATGCTAATAATTATGTTAGTTCTAAAGCGCCATTATCAAACTGTTCGGAGCTACATTTTCAATCACAGCGTGTCATAATGTCAAACGTGTGAGTTTTAAATTATAATGAAATGGAATTGCTGGAAAATGCTGACACGTAGTACATTCTTTACCTGATCATAGGTTAACATTTTGACTGTCTTTGGTCTGCGGGGCTAAATGGACTGTGCATTATGTCTGTAAGTCGAAGGGGGGGGGGGGGTGTCTGACAATTGCTGTTACATTATGAAGGGCATTTCCATGGAGCGGGGATGGCGCCTCAAGCTTTATTTCTCCTGCACTAATTTGGAAGCAGTTAGGCAAATGTCAAGTAATGTTAGCTAGATGTCAGGTGTAATTATATCCAGATTATTTTCTGCCTTTTGTTGTATGCAGGTTTGTCTGCGCTCTGCTCTCTATAGAAAAATTGACTAAAGAGCTGCAATTATAGGCAGTGTTAGAAGTGTAATCACTGTAATTTTCATAACACCGTGGTTATCATTGCAAGTATCCCGACGCGTGCAGTGCAAATTTCTCTTCCTAGGCTACTTTTCATTTGCCAATTTGAATTTTTTTTCTTTCTTTGAGTGGTTAAAGTACAATAGGTTTCTAACGCAGTGACATTCATCTGCCTGGTGTGACGATGGGTTTGACTGCTGGTGTTATTCAGCCCACAGAAACTTCTATTTTCAATTCAAGCACCTAAAATATCCTGTACCATCGTTTTGTTCTGTTGATTGTAAAGCACACGATCTGCCTTTTGGTAGAAAGTGTGCAGCCGCCAAATTAATGTGGTCTTCATTTTACACTTAAATGCATTAGCTTCAGTGCAGAAGCACAGACTGAATATATGTGGAGGAATGTATGACCTGTAGTTGTTTCTCAAGCTCTGAAGCACACACAGGTAAACTAAAAGCTTCTCGGATACAACAACATTGTCCATAGATGGAGTTTGTCTACTCTATAATTTTCCGTCTAAAATCAGTTACATGATTTCTTGAAATGACTGAAATATTAAAAAAAAAAAAAAGTGTCATTATGAAATTCTTGACCTAATCAGAAGGTGCAGAGCTTGGGAAGCAACTGTTCATTTCAAATTCTAGATCAAATAGCTTTGATCCTTTTAGCAACATGGACTAAGAGATGATAGTCGATAGGCAGCAGCACTATCTCATGCTTGAACATAAGTCAACATCACTCCTGCAGCAGCACTCCTCAAAACTAATCAATGCAATTTTGCTGCCTTGTTGTCTCCCTTTTGGCCCATCTGCAGGGAACTTACGTTACAGATTTTTTATTTTTTTTTGATTGTGTTATTATATTTATGTTTTTTATTGTTTGTTTCAGCGTCTAACTTTGCAATCCTTGATAACTACTGCATTGTTTTCAGGAAGTTTTGTTTACTGAACTCAAAAGTATGTGTAGCCTGAGAGAGAATGTTTTATGATTTTTATTAATTAGATTAACTTTTATTAAAATTTGATTTGTTGGAATTTGCATTTTATTTTATTCTGAACTGCTGAACAAATTTGTGAAAGATTTTTAAAAAAAATCATTGCCTTTATTGACAATAAAAATGTTTTTATTTCCTCTATTGATACATTTTCATGAGGGAGTAATATGTCACAAAGCTCAAATCATATGAAAGTTTACAGGTGTAAATCCTTCAGTAAAAATGATCAGCTCTTTACAGGCTTCCATTTTCCCTGTTTCATTCAAAAGTGCTCTAATCGCACCACTACTCAACAAAAAAGAACTAATTATAAACCTATTTCTAATCTTTCTTTCCTCAGCAAAATATTTGAAAAAATGTTCATAAAAAATTGAATGAATATCTTTAGATAAGTACCAGTCAGGTTTCAGAACTAATCACGGCTCTTATTTAAAGCTTGAAGATTGAGAATGACTCACGGAGCGTTTTAGTCGTAACTCTTCTCAGTCTCACTGCTGCCTTTAACACTGCTCATCAAAATATTTTAAGTCGAAGGCCTCATGATTGAGTTTGTTTAACAAGCCAGGTTCTCAAATTGTAAGACTGATGTTTATGTGCTTCAATTAGTAGTTTTAGACTTGCAGAAATAAAACTTTAGGAAGGGGTTCCTCAAGCTGCTGTCCTTGGTCCACTGCTCTTTAACCTTTACATAACATTTACAAAGGTTGGTTTATACATTTAGAGAAACAGCTTGCGGCACAAAAGACGAATTTGAATGCAACAAACAACCTAGCTGGAGTTCACCTCATCTTGCAGTGTGGCAAACTTGAAGAATGTGTCCCAGCTTGTGTCTCCATCAGGACAGTTGTGTCTGCAGATCTGGGTGAAGCTGCAGAAGGGCTTTGGAGAAAACTTTACTGTAAACATGCATACATATTTAGTTATAGGTTTAAGCTAGTGGAAAAAAACACATGCAATAAGCTTATTTAAGATGAAAGTGCACACAATCAGCTACTGATTAGAAAAGTATTGATTTTGGTGCTGGTTTAGCTCAGTCGAATGAGCAGGCGACCATATGCCACATGGCTGAAAGCAGCCGCAGTCTTTTTTTTCTTTTCTTTTTATGTGCCCGTCTGTCATTGGTGAGTCGGAGGCTGCTCATCCAAAATGCTGTAATTCCGCTTTTATCTGGCACATGCCAGCAAGATCACGTATGTTCCTTAAACTGACTACCATTCAGTCTTAGAATTGATTTCAAAGTGTTATTGTTCGCTACTAAGACGATGCATGTGTTGGTGCCTCCATACTTCTATGATCTCTAAACTTTGCACACGCCTACCGAAGCCTGGTGAGCAATGCTTCTAGCTGTGCCAAGGCCCAGTTGAATTCATCTGTTGCATTTTATTTATATAATGCCAATCACAACAGCAGTCGCCTCAAGATTGGAAGAAAGGGCGCTTAAATGTGTTCGCAATTAAATTTAACATGACCGACAAAACCTTCAAACAAGTCTTTCTTGTTCAGTCTTTTTCTAAATGTGCTGTCATTAACTTTAACATGCTGATTGAGATCTCTAGTTTCTGCGATGTAGCTTTTGTGCAGTCTGACCTTGGGGTAAATTTGCTGGGGTGTCCCATCCTGGGAAGATTATAGTGAATACTCCAGACCAGCAAACTCCCAAAAATGACATTTTTGTGCAGATGGTCACACTTGATGATGATTAATTAATTAAGCACATTTCAGTAACAACAGATGGCTGATATGTTCCCTCTTAATTCCTGTGGAAGCATTAAATATATTCTTTATAGTTGTTTTTTTTTTCATTAAAATCCAGTGTAAACTTTGCTTCATCTTGGAGCATGTTTAAACTATGTTTTAAGACTATGTTACTGTTACTGATTCAGAAAGTAAAGTAAGGTCAGGAAATGTGTCAGCATGCCATGAAGGTTGGTGGAGTGATCACATCCCAAACAATCTTACACTCGCTAGATAAACATAAAAATGTATTGATTTCTTCTTCTATTGATTCTTCTATTGATATTGATTTCGTAACCCCTGTCCCCACCTGTGCATGGGGACAGGGGTTACGCTGTACTGTAAAAGTGTAAGTTGAGGATCACTAAACTGGATGACTGGCACTTTGAATTTGTATGGTGTATCCACAAATGTAATTATTATGCATATACCGTAATATGGTATATTTGCATTCTTGGTGGTTGGACTTTTTTTTTAACCTAATTTGTACACTTTTGTTGTACCTGTGGCTGACGGCATCTACGGTCACATGAAGCCTAACTGTGGGTGTGTTGCGCTCTCTAGTGGTGTAGGTTTGCATTGGAATGCCGTGCTGAATGCTTATCATAACAGGTCAGCTCTCTAACCCACAAGGTTGTGTTGTGTTAACATTAAAAGAAAGCACTCACTAAAGTCTTTTCCCATTTACTATAAACAAACAAACCAAAAAGAATTCTCAACATCTCACAGAATTTCAA